TAGGGTCCCTGCTGTTGGGGTTTAGGGTGAGGGTTACAGGAGGGCTTGGGGGTTTATCGGTCTTCTACAGACCTTCATAAACCCTATAAAGCCTAAAACCCTAAACCCTAAACCCTTCTTGCTGAACCCAAAACTCCGTAAACCCAGACCCTTAAACACTTTTATGGGCCTTATAAGGTTCTATAGCCCTGTGAACCCTGGATCTATGTATAAAATAAAGGAATAGACTGCCCACACCATCGAGCAGCAGAAACCCTCGAGCTGAAATCCGGTGGAACACCTCCAGAAGGGCCCGTGAAGCTTCAAGCCGCTGCTCTAGACCCCGAACTTGCAAGCGTCCGCAGCTGCCGGCTCCTTGTTTCTCTTGTGTGGGTCTGGGTATAATGGCCGAGTTTTCGCGGAGCGAGCTCTGCGAGCTGCGGAAGCGGCTCATGGAGACGTGCGAAGGCGACGTGCCTCTGCCGCCACCTGAGCAGTGGCTGGATCACGAGTTGGAGCTGGTGCGCGAGACCCTCTACTTCGTGATGAAGTTCCGCTGTGTGGGCGATCGGGCCGTTGTCGCCAAGTGCATCGGCGTCTTGGCCTGCCTGCGCTGCATGTGGGCAGAGCTTTTTGAAAGCTGCACCAACAAGAACCGCATGTGGAGCGGGTACTCTTTCGTCCCGAAAGATCCAGAAACCGATGTGGACTCCTGGCTGCAGCAGGTGCCGGCCGTGCAGTTGCAGGAGCGAGTGCGATATCTTCGCTTGTGCCTTGGCATCCTGCCGCATTACTTCGGCCGCAGGCTTGGCACCGAATGGCAGCTGGCCTTCGCTCAAGCCGGCCTTGAAGCGAGGAAAGTGCTGGAGCGCATCGAGGAGAATCCTGCTTTGAAGGAGCTGCGAGCGGAGACCTTGCAGCTGCTGGACTAGCAGCTTGGGCTGTACAGTGTAGGCTCCGCGAAGCGGCTCTTTTGCGTGTGCCTGTAGGCGCGGTGTAGTGTCGATTCGGAGTAGTGGAGCACAGCTGTTGCTATGAGCAAACGGCTCCGTGAAGCTGTTTCTCACCAGCCGAGCTTCTGAGAGTCAGAGCTTCGGTGTGCTAGCAGTCAAGTCTGCAAGTTATAGATCTTGCGGCACGGTCGCTGCAGGGTCCGCTTGCGAAAAGCTCTGCAGACAGTTTGCAGCACCAGCTCCACCTTAGAACCACCTTGCTTTATGAGGTCCCCGAAGAGTCCCAGGCAGGTAGACCACCTCAGCACCTTAACTCTGCATCCTAGAAGCCTGGAGGGTTTAAGGCCTTCCACCTTGCAACACCTTGCTCAAGATCTCGAGACAGGCAGGCCACCTTGACCACCTTGCCTTCAAGATACAAGGGAATTGGCCACCAGGACCACCTTAATCCAAGGTGGTCAGGCTTTGAGGCCAGGGCTCCACCTTAGTTCACCTTGCAAACACCTTGCTTCTCAACCGGCTGCTTCGGAAGCATGCCTCCTTAGCACGTTGTCCTCCGGAAGCAGGTTTCAGGAAGCAGTATAGCTGTCAAACTGCGGATTGTTTTGCTTCGTAGCGGCATGCTGGCGACAGCAAATAGGAGTCTCATGTCCATGTCTACATAGCTGTTACGGCTCTCAAGGGTTGTCCTGCTCGCCCCGGCCTTTCTTCGTCGTGCCAAGCATGGCCGTTGTTGCTGCCGACGCTGCCGAGCCTCGCTTTGAGGACCTCTCTGCAGGAGAGGCAGAGCTGGAGGCTGGACGAGGCCGCTGCCACGACTGCGGCCAGTCTTTCAAAGTCGCCGAGCTGCACGGTCGCTGGCGCAAGAAGCTCTGCCTCGGTTGCCGCCGCACGGAGCACA